ACAGAGAGAGAGAGAGAGAGAGAGAGAGAGAGAGAGAGAGAGAGAGAGAGAGAGAGAGACATGTGCCTTTGCCAAGATAGTCGTCTCGGTCATGCGGAGAAAGGTATGCAAAACGATTGTCCTCGGCTATGCATTTGAATGAAAAAAATACTTCTTGAAAGATAGAGACATAATGCAAGTTTTTCTTACTAATAACCATTTCACAATGTAGGTAAATGACAAATAATCGAGTACGAGTTGAAGAAAAATCCTTCAACAAAATTCGTGCCTATTGAATGGTGTGAAAAACTTGTCTGGCTTGTTACAGGACTATGGGAGTTGAAAGCTCATTTCATGCATCATTTCTTCACATTTTTTATGACGCTTTATTCATATCAATGGAATTTTAACAATAAGAATAGAGGAATTTAACATATATCAACAACATTGGCTATTTTTTTTTTCATTATGGCTAAATATATATTATTATTGATGGAGAAAATGATAGCGTAAGAACGGAGGGCCGGAAAAAACCGGTAAATCCCGTTGGAGTTATTCGACTTTCGTGCGGGACGATGCTTCGTGTGAGAAAGCTACATAGTATAAACCCATGCATCGAAATCACTGAAAAAATATGGCAAAATGTCGAATTCTGCCATTAACAATGCATACAACTAAAAAGTAATGTGTATTTCGTTTGGAGCCATAATATTGAATTTATCACAAGTACATTAGCACTACATTATTAAACAATAGACAATTACCTTATTCACTCCACGAATTATCCATTTGGCATTCTCAGGGAAATGAAGAAGAAAATTTAAAGAGCGAGAACGAAAAATCACACAATAGAACGAAATGAGGGAATAAACATTGACAGGACACAACTTTGTTTTTTTCTTTCTTTCTTATTAAATTAATGAACAATAATTACAAAAGAGTACGCCGAAACGATATTAATTATTGAAAGTTTTACGACGACTACCTCGGGAGGAGGAATCGGTTTGAGGTATGCTGTCGACCTCGCCTAGCTGGATAGTTGTGCTAATGTCCACGCAGCGCCACAGTACAGAAATTCTTATACCGTTACTTTCGGATGGCTGGTGTTATGTGGCCGATTTTGTCGTCTCTCCCGATTCCTTTCAGTCTAGTCAATCTGGCTGATGGAAGTATGGTGTGATCACAGCAACTACACGGTCAATGAAAAAATTCCAATCGATCCAGAAAAATGTCCTGAAACAACATATCCAAATGTTTGAACATGATTCATTCGGCTGACATTCAAGTTTATTAAAAACTATCGACGTTTCATGGCGTAACGCCAAGAACTTTCAACCGTATAACTTTAACTCATTCAATAGACGAAAGAAAATCAACTTAAAGAGAAAAAATTAAATGAAGTAAGAAATAAAATGAATTGTCCAGCCAAATGAAAAAAAAAAGAATGTACGCTTTCTGACAATTTCAACAGTAAGAAAATATTTACGCTGAATTGTCAATGCATCATCTGATCATATTATTTACATTTCTTCTGTTGCTATCCCATTAATTGATTTTCATGGTGGAACAAATAATTAGATGGCTTAACAGGTATATAATCGAATGAGAATCAGATAAATATGTACGGCAGCACGCAACATAAGTTGGAATCTACTGCGCATCGCTCGTGTTTGTGTTGCGCACGCCGAAAATGGATATCAAATGTTGATGATAGGGATATCCATCATCAACATTTGGATATGTTGTTCAGGACATTTTTCTTGTTCCGACGATCATTTGTGGTATTGGGACCGCTAATTACCGATGGCGGCGTTCGTTTTCACCAATATGGACGATTTTAGGCTTCCCATATACACGCTGACATAAGCCCAAATTGGGTTGTATAATGTCTATGTGCAGCCCAATATCCGCCATTCATAGGTGGCGTTTTGATATTTAGCGTTTCCAATAGTGGGACTAATGGCGCCATCCATAATTAATATCGACTGCCAATATAACGGATGTAATTTCTACTCTACCGACACTGTTTGACCGACTGCAAGAAAAGTGGACAGATGTGGTTGTGTACAGTTGTTCCCATAATTCTCATAGGCATAATGCAATAGATAATTAAAGAATGGCAATTAATAAATCAGAGTTTATTATTGTATGCTATTATAAATTCTAGACGTATATGTATATGCATATTTATAAGAGAGTACCATATTCAAAATATGACAACTGCGCAACTCTTCCGTGCACATTCATCATGGCGGCCGGCCACTGACAGGGTATGGAGGTTTGGCGTTCGTCCGTGGATTTTCGGTGAGAAAAGGGATTAAACCGGGA